CCTTCCCCTCCTCCTCCTCCTCCTCCTCCTCCTCCTCCTTCTACTCCTCCTCCTCCTCCTCCTCCTCCTCCTCCTTCTCCTCCTCCTCCTCCTCCTCCTCCCCCCCTGGCAGCCGCCTCTTGAGCTCCAAGAAAAGCCACACACCTTCAAAAACCTCGAACCTCGTGTTCCTCCGATCCTCGATCTTCCTTCTCCTCGATCCTCGATCCCCCGTCTCATCTTGTCGTTCCCCCCTGTCGAGGGTGCGAAAGGCCCGGGGCCGCCTCGTCCTCCTCCCTCCTCCGTCCCTCCTCCCTCCTTCTCTGCATCCCACTCTCATCCCTCCTCATCCTGCTTCTCCCTCTCCTCTTTGTACTCCGCCTCCTTCTCCCTCACTTCCATTCCTTCTCCGTATGAATAACTCCTCCCTGTCGCACCCCGAGGCGTGTGGATAGGGCGGGCCGGGCGTTTCGCCTGAGAGTTACTTACACGTGTTGATCCTTAAGCTGAGCATTCGCAAGGGTTTCACAGATGAAGGGCGGATCGTTTTCAAAATGTGGCTCTCGCCTGAGCGACGCGCACACTCGTCTTAAACATTTGCAAGCGTTTCACCGATCCAGGGCGGGCCGTTTTCAAAATGTGGCTCTCGCCTGAGCGTCGCTCACATTCGTCTTAACCAATTGCAAGAGTTTCACGGGAGGAGAAACGGCTGGCTTTCAGAATGTGTCTCTCGCCTTCGCGTCGCGCGCATCCATCTTACGTAATGAATTGCAGCCATTTCACGGATGAAGGGCGCTTACTTGAGTTCTCTACACATCCAAGGATTATCATAGTTAACGTCCCCAAAATGGTAGTTCGGCACGACGTCGGACTGTCAGGGCACAACTGTTACGTTGATTCGCGGTGTTGAAGTCCCATGAACGGTGTTCTCGCACGATCCAGGATCGTAGAGACGCAACAGTAACAATGTTTCGCGGCGTCGCAATCTCAAGAATGGTGTTCTGGCCAGTTCAAGATTGTCATACGGTTGTCTTCCGAAGGGGACACTTCCCTCAATAAGAATTAACCCTTGTAGGGGGCAATGAAGAGGAAACTTGAGGGAGGGTTCGGTGCAATGTCGTTTATGAGTCTGCTTCATCATCATCATCATCATCATCATCATCATCATCATCATCATCATCATCATCAGCATCAGCATCAGCATCAGCATCATTATCAGCAGCAGCATCAGCATCAGCATCAGCATCAGCATCAGCATCAGCATCAGCATCAGCATCATCATCGTCGTCATCGTCATCGTCATCGTCATCGTCATCGTCATCGTCATCGTCATCATCAGCATCAGCATCAGCATCAGCATCAGCATCAGCATCATCATCGTCATAATCAACATCATCATCATCATCATCATCATCATCATCATCATCATCATCATCATCATCAGCAGCATCAGCATCAGCATCAGCATCAGCATCAGCATCAGCATCAGCATCAGCATCAGCATCAGCATCAGCATCATCATCATCATCATCATCATCATCATCATCATCATCATCATCATCATCATCCCCGCCAAAATCGACCCTGCATGTGGACCCTGCACCTCTCCTGGGGCGCGTCCGCGCCAGAGCTCCGGGGGCGCATCCTGCCGCGGCAGAGGCCACCGGGAGGTCCCGGAAATGCTGAGCGCAGACCCCAAAACCTCGCTCCTCGAGCGCCGCTCCCCGAACCCAGACGGCTGGCGATGTGCTTTTTTCATTGCGCGCCCCCGGAGGTCCCGATCCCTTGCCCAGGGCCAATGGTTCGGGTGTTGCTGCAAGTGCCCTTGGCCCTCGGTCCTAGGTGCCCCCAGCTTTTCACTCCATTCTGGAGCCCCTGGGGCCCCCTGGGCCTCGTGAGGGGTGCCCTGGAGGCCGCCTGGGCCACCCCGAGAATCCTGGGTTGGGCGAGGGGCATTTCTGGCAACGCTCGAATTGTTCGTCCCAGATTCATGTTTGATGGCCCCGGGCCCAGATGCCAGCCCCCAGCGGCCGACATCGACGAAAAAGGCCCAGATGGAGAAACAACACGGATCGTCGGAGATCGAGCGGCTGGCAGTGCAGTTCGGCCCTCGCTCAATCCTTGCGCTGACTCTACGGGCAGATGGCCTCGGGATGCCGCTGCTCATGGGTGGAGAGTTGAAACGTTGCGCCGTCCTTCCTCCTTCCTCCTTAGTCGTCGTCCTGCTCCTCGTCGCCCTTCCTCCTCCTCCCTCCTCCTCGTTCCTCCTCGCCCTTCCTCCTCCTCGCCCTTAGTCCTCGTCCTGCTCCTCCTGCTCCTCCTCGCCCTTCCTCCTCCTCCTCGCCCTTCCTCCTCCTTGCTCCTCCCTCCTCCTCGTCGTCGTTGCTGCTTCTTCGAGAACATATCGCCCTCGCCCTCCCCTGGTCCTCCGTCTCCGCTGTGTTCCTGCCCCTTTCCCCCCCTGGCCTACAGGGCCTACCTCCGTCCATCCCGCCCTCCCTCCCCCTCCTCCTCCTCCTCCTCCCCCTCCTCCTCCTCCCCCTCGCCCCTCCTCCTCGCCCCTCCTTCACGCCTCCTCCTCCTCCTCCTCGCCCCTCCTCCTCCTCCTTCACGCCGTCCATCCCGCCCTCGCCCTCCGATCGGTGTCCTGTGAGTCCCGCAGCGCGTGAGCCCCACATGCAGCTCTCGCGGCAGAGGTCGGTCCTTGCCGCGCCATCATCCGTAACAGCTGTGGCTAACTGTACAGATCAGTCGTTGCAGATAGGTTGGGTGCGTCGAAGGGTCACGTTTGCACGGCGTGGACTCTCGAACACCGTCGAGCGCGGTGTACGCTCTTCGGCGAGAAGGGCCGGTCGTTGCCCAAGCTCCTCCTCCTCCTCCTCCTCCTCCTCCTCCTCCTCCTCCTCCTCCTCCTCCCCGCCCCCAGGGTGAGGCCTGGCACCTGTTTTCATGGTGTCAGTGCCGAGCACCCTCGGGGCACACTGTACACGGCACTTAATTTGCAGGTTGGGCGGGGTGCAACCGGCCGATTATTCTGGAACTGCGGGCTTTGGGGCTTGGGGCTTGGGGTGGACGTTGCGAAACCTATATCGACGGGTCTCCCGTCGTTGGGTGTAGCACAGCTCCAGTCTCAGCCTGGCCCTGCGGGTGAAGGCGGGTAGCGGCGCCTGTGCGGTCATTTCATTGTGATCTGACCCTCAGGGATCGGCATTTCCTCGGGAGGCGGTGGCTTGTGCCACGTAAGTCCCAAGGGGCCTTGTACCCACCCAGGGCTGAAGAACTTGTGCTCCTCGGCATGCCGTGCCAGCTGTTCCGACTGGGATGCCTGGGCGTGTGCAATACACGGGGGGTGCCTTCGGGAAACCGACCCTGGGCGCCGGACTCCACCTCCTCCCCGCCTCTGCCCTCCTGCTCCTCCTGCTCCCCTCCTCCTCCTGCTGCTCCTCCTCCTGCTCCTCCTCCTCCTCCTCCTCCTCCTCCTCCTCCTCCTCCACCTCCTCCTCCCCCTCCTCCTCCTCCTCCTCCTCCCTCTTCTTCTCCTCCTCCTCCTCCTCCTCCTCCTCCTTCCTCCTCCTCCTCCTCCTCCTCCTCCTCCTCCTCCTACTCCTCCTCCTCCTCCTCCCCCTCCCCCTCTGAGAGAGGAAGAAAGGAGGAGAAGAGCGAGGCCGCGCGCCTGTCCGGATAGCCGGAAGAGCACCTTGGCGAACTGGTCTTGGTCGACGCCGCCTCTGTGGTGCGCCGCCGCGCGAGGCAAGGGGGGAAGAGCGGCGAGGGAGAGGTGGCCCAGGCGGGAGGGAGCGCCTTCACCTGCGCCTCCACCTCCTCCTCCTGCTCCTCCTCCTCCTCCTCCTCCTCCTCCTCAACCCCTCCTCCTCCTCCTCCTCCACCTCGTCCTCCTCATCCTCCTCCTCCTCCTCCTCCTCCTCCTCCTCCTTCCTCCTCCTCCTCCTCCTCCTCCTCCTCCCCCTCCTCCTCCTCCCCCTCTACCTCCACCTGGGAGGGAGAGGGAGAGGTGGCCCCGGAGGGGAGGGACGGGATGAAAGGGAAGAGGGAGGGAGGGAGGGGGGCGGGGGGGGAGGGAGGGCCCCTCCCTCCCGCCCATCCCGCCCCTCGCTGTCGACTCTGGCCTCGCTCAGCTGGCCGGGCCGCCGGCTCCGCCAGGGAAACGGGGGAGAGGAGGGGGAGGAAGGGCAGGATGCGGAGGGGAGGGGAGGAGGAGCGCAGCAGAAAGAGCGAAGTCCAGGCCCGACACAGAACCGAGGTTGGGTGAGCCAAAAAGGTGTGTGTGTGTGTGTGTGTGTGTGTGTGTGTGTGTGTGTGTGTGTGTGTGTGTGTGTGTGTGTGTGTGTGTGTGTGTGTGTGTGTGTGTGTGTGTGTGTGTGTGTGTGTGTGTGTGGGAATGTCCCTTCGAGGAGATGGTCGAAACTGCCAGCAGCTGCTGCTGCTGCTGCTGCTGCTGCTGCTGCTGACAGTGGCCGCAGCCCCTCGCAGGAATCCCCCTCGGCGCCTCGGCCATGGGAGTCGAAGAGGTTGAAGAGGACCTGGGTGCTCTGAAAGTCGATGTCAATGCCGAACTCCTGCAAGAGAAGGCGGAGAGGGGAGAGAACAAGCGAGCACGGAGGAAGAGCCAGCGACATAAACACCACCTGTCGGAGCTCGGCGCGGATGTCTGGGGTCGGCGCTGCCGATGTGATGTTTACCCAAGGAACTTCAGAACCTCAGATTGGTGTAATGTTGTCCTTCTTGGAGGCAGGAGACGGAGGGGAAGAGCGAACGACCATGCGCACGAACAGCAGCAGGGACAGGAACGGGAGAGGTGACGTCGCCGAGCGAGTTCCTGCAGGCAGCTCTGCGCCCGCTCGTCGGTGAAGAGCCTGTCGATCTCCTTGTACTCGAGCCACCCCGCTTGCTTCCGATCGAGGACCTGGAACAGCTCCTTCGCGTTCTGGATCCAGACCTGCTTCCTCTGAATGTTGTCCAGGATCTTTGTCGCCTCGTCCGTAGACGTGCGAGCTGCGGCATCAACGAAGATGGCTGTGATCCGAGAGCCCCAGGATGGGGCACTGTGCTGAAGCGGCGATGCGGTCAACGACGAATGGTTTCGCACGTACGCCTTGGTACACAGAAACTCTGTCACATATGCATGATCAGACACCCGTGTGAGATCATACGTGGATGCATATACACACATATACATATATACACACAAGACTGCATTGGCGCTGCGCGCCATGCACCTTGGTCCTTTGAGTTCTGCACGCAAGCGGAATGCGTGCGTGCGTACATGCGCGCATGCATGTATAAACGCGCGCGTGCATGCACGTTCCGTATAAGTGTCTGGGTGTACACAATAGACTTACATGGTTGTATATGTGTGTATACAGCGTACATATGTACATATAAATTTAGGTGTGTAAGGGTATGAACCTGCATATGCAACTCGTACGGGGCATCCTCGGGCATCTTCGCTGGATGCCACGAGACCTTCAACGACTGGGTCACAATGTGAAATGTCATGGGAGCATAATCAATGAACGCTGGCATTCGGAAACATCGTGGGGGTGTTTTCGGGGCCCTCGTGTGCCGTTTTGGCGCCTTCATGGGCCGTCCTGGGGCCTTCTTGGGCCGTCTTGGGGAGCTTGGGCCCGCTGGGGCCTCCTTTGGACCCATCTTGGGCACTTCCGGGGACCTCCCATGGCCCTTTTGGGTCTGTGCTGGGAGCCCTTGGGGGGCCCCTTGGTTCCATTATGGGTTGTCTTTGGGCTCTCGTGGGCGATCGTGGGGCCCGGCTCGGCCGTCTTGAAGCTTTCTAGGGGGCCTTTTGGAGCGTCTTCAGGCGATCTCGGGGGTTTTGAAACCGACTTGAAAGCTGATGAAATCCGAAAGACGAATATGCTAAAATCGTGAGTTTTACGAAAGAAATGGGACGATTGTTGTGCTTTGAAGGCCCCTTGGAAGGCTTTTTGGGGTGCCTTGGGGGTCTTTATGTTGGCATTCGGAAACATAGTTGTTCATTCTTGTTTTCCAGAGAAATGCTGAGGCGGAGACAACATGTCATGTGGGCAGTTTGTCCCACACAACCCGCAGAGAACGCAACAATTAAATAGGCTTGGGGCTGGCGAGGGCAGAAGCGATGGCTACAGAGCGAGTGAAGCGGACGTATGCAATGAACAATGCCGTGCACTGCTATGTTCATTCTTGTTTTCCAGAGAAATGCTGAGGCGAAGACAACATGTCGTGTGGGCAGTTTGTCCCACACAACCCATCCTCTTGAATACACCCCGTCTTCAAGCAATGCACTGGACTACCGCATCAAATTCCACAGGCGGCTAGCCCGTAGAGACAAATAGCTGTGAGAAAGTTCTCGAGCGAGCACGGAGCACAGGCGCGGGGGGTAGGAAGCTTTAAGATGAGTAAGGGAGCCGGCCTTGGACTTACCAGACATAACAAAGTGCGGCTTGCCCGAAAACGTGCAAACACCCCTACCTTTACAGTGCCATGTGTATAGCTCTGGCGGAACGGATATATTGGCGAGAGCCATACGAGTGCGCGCACGAAAAAGACGGCCAGCGCCGCAATAGTCAAAGACAACAGTCTGGACGTTGGCATGAGAGTGAAAACGCTGGCGGCTGGGGAGCACCCACAGCAGACTAGATGCAGGATTTTCCTCTCCAGCTGGCAGCTGGCGTCTCAGGGCGATGCCTAGTAGGAGTGCGACTCTGTCAGCCAGCTTGTTTGAGGTAACGACATCGTGATAGTCAACGCCCTCCAGGCCTGGCAGGCCTCGCAGGTGCTCCTTCGTCCACAAGCGACGAGGCATCACACTGTGAGGCGGAGCCCTGCGAGCCTGTGACCATTTTTCACAAGGACTGCCTGAAAACATGCCCCAGATGATACCAGACTCAAGCCAGCCTCGAAGGGTGCGGAAGACATCATCTTGCAGCAAGTCGCACTCCGGTCCCAGGAGTACGTCACTTGAAACAACAGCGCGCCCCCTTTTCTTTAGCTCGGCGGCGAGGCCACCCGAGCCTGAGAAGAGATCCAGGAACGCCCGCCGATCGCCAAGGCGGCCGGCGCGGAGGGCAGCACGTAGGCGATGTCGAAGAGCTGCGGGGCGGCTGCCGCCCCGATCTAGCAGCTTATCCTCCGGGCGCTGCTGAGGGCCTGCCTGACCACCGCCAGACGACAGGTTTTGTCGTACCTCGGGCCTGGCGAAGTCGTCCTCCACGTTCCTCGCCTCTGCACCTCCAGCAGCGCGCGGTAACCTGCAACGCAGACGTGTGTCGCGTCGCCGTGCCTCAGGAAGTGCGGCGAGCAGTCCAAACCTTCGAGCTTGAGGTGCTGACAAGCAACATGGAAGTCGGCCAGGCGCCGCGGGCGCGAGCTCTCGAACAGCAGCTCGTCCCCGAGACGAAGCCGCTGCAGCCGCACGACAGCGCGCCCAATCCAGCGACGTCGATGAAGGTCGAGCCCCGCTGTGGAGTCGAATTCGCCCGTCTTGGAGCTGGTAGTAGGCTCCTCTGGGTGCAGGAGCAGGAGGGGCTGCTGCAGCCCTCCGACCACTCTGCACCTGCCTGGCAGAAACTGCATGGCCAGCAAGGTCGCGGTCTCCGACGGGCTCAGGTCGTACTCGAAGGTCACCCAGATGCACCACCCCGAGTCTGGCTTCCCCCGCGAGGCCAGCACGGCCGCCATCGCGCGCGCTGGCGCCAGCGGCAGCGGCTGGCGGGAGTGGCCCGACGGGCGCTGCGTCCCGCCTGACAGCGACGCGTTCGCCGGGGGAAAGAGGCGCCGAACGGGCCTTCCCAGCGCGGGCTCGCCCCCAGCCAAGGCACAGCGGGTGCGAGAGAACGCCTCCTGACCCATGCCGCGGTCGAAGGCCCACTCGGAGTAGTCCACCAGCGTCTCGTCCGACTGCGCGGGAGTCCAGCCCGGCAGCGCTAGCAGCCGTGGCAAGCCCGAGCGCATGGTCAGCGCCAGCAGGTACAACCGCACGGTGACGTGTCGCACCCGACGCGCCGCCAGTCGCGAGAGCCGCGGACACAGCAGCGCCCGCCGCGAACAGACCTCTGCGGGCCTGTCGCTCGGCGGCGCCTGGGATGTCCAGCCCCGGCGGGAGCCCGAAGGGCCTGGCGGCCCGTGCCCGCCGCGCCAGTCGGAGGCGCGCCGGGTGGTCGGCGCCGGCCTGGGCTCCGCTGCATCGCGGTCGCGCTTGCCGAAGGCGGGGCTGACCGAGTAGGCCGTCGTTGGCATGGTAGTGCTCCCTCGAGCCGATGTCTCCGGACAGCGGCCCAACGCGATGTGTGCCAACCTCCTCCAGGCCTGGGGGTGTGCTGCACTGTCCGACAACGTGGTGCTTCCTTGCGCCTGGCATGAACCTGCGAGAGGGAGCGTCACCAGGGTTGAGCTCTGATGGGGTCCACCTGAACCTGAGCTGCATCCCAGAGGCGACTGAGATCGCGCAGATCTCCCGACAGATGACGTTGAGTGCAAAGTGTGCAGCCCTGCCCTTTTCACACGCGCAAACCACCCCGAGGTTGTCACCCAGGACGAGGTGCCGATGTCCATGCAGCTGCGAGTTCCGCGCGAGGCGCCGCACAGCCCAGCGCGCCCCCTCAGCCTCCAGGACGTGGATAGCCGCAGCCCGCCGCCAGCGACGGGCGGCCGCGACCGCCCAAGGGTCTGCCAGGAGCCGCGCTGCCGGCACCTCCTCAATGTGGGTCAGGGTGCCCTCCGCGGTGACATCGGCCGCCGTGGCGTGCAGGAGCTGCCGTTCGACCAGCGTGTCCCTGGGGGCATAATCGGCCGTCAGGACTCCTCTGAAGCGACTGCGCTCCGAAAGGCTGCCAACTCGCCGAACCTCACTGATGGGCCACGGCTGCTCCACCACGCCAAACCCCCACGGAGAGGCATCCGTGGCGGTGACCCGTTCGCACCAGGGGCGGCTCAGCGAAACGGTCACGCAGGGAAGCAGCGCTCTGAACCACGTGAGCCCCCGCCTCACCGACGACCAGAGAGGCTGCCGCTTGTCACGCGACCGCCTGCAAAACTCGTAGATCGCATGGAAGAGCGAGAGCATGTCCCGCTGCAGCATGACAGCCGCGGCGATGTGGCCCATCAGCCTCTCGAGCTCGCGCCCCGTGACAAGACGGCCAGGCGCCAGTACACAATCGAGGCTGAACTTCAGCCGCCAAAACTTGCTGTGCGACAGGCGCCAGGTGGCCGAGGGCTTGTGCAGCACGAAGCCGAGCAGGGCGTGCATGTCCCCATCATCGCGGTCAAAGGAAGCCTGAATCCCCCGCGCGCCAAGAGCGGCCAGCATGCGCTCCACCTCCAGCGCGGGGTCGCCGCTGCCTGACGTGAAGACTGCGACGTTGTCTGTACAGCATCTTGGCGGTGGCACACTGCGCCCCCAGCGCCGGCGTGGGCACCTTGTCAGCGATCCAGGGCGCATCCGGGCTGATGGTGCTCAGGACATGGGCATGGGCCTCTTGAATGAGGTGCACGGCCCACGACCAACCCATGGGGACCACTCTGGCAACGAAGTGGATCATCTCCGAGGGGTCTGAAACCCCCAGCCGCTGGCGGGCTGCCGTATCCAAGAAGCGTGCTTGGACCGCTGGCAGACCGAAGAAGGCACGTGCCCACGACGGCAGCTCGCACTGGTAGAAGCAGCACTCGACGTCACCAGAGGCGACAGCAATCCCTCCAGCAGCGTCGACCTCCAAGTTCGCCAGGGCCTCCCCGCTCGCGAGCAGCGTGTAGGGCGGGTCCTGGAAATGGGCATTGGACCTTCGGGCGTCGAAGATCAGCCGCAGCGACGAGTCCTTCTGTGGGGCGAAAAAGATGCCAGCGCGCTCGATGATGCTGCCCTCGGCCGCCGGCTCAATGATGCCCGCGGAGAGCAGCTCGGAGAGGCACTCGCCATACTGGTAGCCGTGCCGCTGCAACACTGGGCCCATGGCGCAGACCCTGGGAGCCTCACCCAAAGCAAAATTGCAAGCCTCAGGCTCTCGTAGCATCTGCGACGAATC